TTCGTATCAGCAAATATCCATATCAGAGTATTGTCATCAAAGTAGAAGTCACAATCGTCTAAAAAAGTGACGATTTCCATTTTTGAAACATCAACATTTTCTATAACTACTAATTGAAATGATATTCACTANGCGTCTGGCGACCGTTGCGTCCGACTGCACATGGAGTGCGAAAAGATTCTAAAGCAGGATGCCATTAAAAATTCAGTAACGAAAAATTTTCGGAAGATACTTCTAAATAAACAAGATCTTTATTTATAAATGAATGGAACTATCGGCAAATTGAGGGCAAACTGGAAAGCTAAAAAAATGGTTCAAGCGTTAAACTGGTTCAAGCGATCGAAGTGTTCTGGAAGCGTAGTGAGGCATAGTTTCCTATGCAGTGACTCGCTCAGTCCTTCTATATTTATTTTTTTATTCTATAATTTATTTATTCTATAATTCCCAACGAAGAAAATGTCAACTTCTGGAAGGTGAAAACGACTGGTTAGCCTGAGGTTCCGGTCTTTTGGATTCGGTGTTTGAACCGTATGGGCAATTGAGGTGCTACAAGCTACCCGAACCGCCGCTCGGCTACCACACTACTTCAAGTCTTGTAGAAAGCGAAATAAAGTAATCATTATAAGAATGGATGGAATGAAACAAAAGAAAGGGTAATAACAACCTACACTCTTTTTTTGCGCTTTTCGAATTTTCCATAATGTAACCATGTCGAATGTTGCGACAATTCCAAATAAAGTTACGTTGTAACAAAGGTCTACGTAAAATGACAGTATAGCGCCACATTTCGTATCAGCAAATATCCATATCAGAGTATTGTCATCGAAGTAGAAATCACAGTCGTCTGAAAAGTGACGATCCCCATTTTAGAATCATCGACATTTTCTATAACTACTAATTGAAATGATATTCACTATGCGAGCATCGAAAAGCTCATTAGTTCCTTTGATTATAGTTTTGCTTCTTATCACAGAGAGTGGAATAATCACAATTCACCCTATGGGGCTCACTCATTCCAGTGATTCATAGATACTGACGCCGTCCTCCCAAAGCTGTTGATCGGGTTGCTATACGCTTCCATATGTTTTGCCACAAATTCTCACTGGGCGGAGTCTGTAAAGGTGGGTGGTACCTAACACAAGCCCAGACAATTTTATGTCACGGGAACGGATTGGGCCTCTTATTCAGGAAAAGACAACTTCTTGCTGGAGATGGACAAAAAAGCTTAATTGGAATGAACACACACCGATAACCTTTTTTTCTACACAGCTGTAGTCAACAAATTTTGAGTAAGAAAAGCTTACCCTCAAAGTACACGGATGAATATGCAACGCTGATAATAGCAATGAAGGCAATCACGAAGTAGGTGTTCCGTATGGTGAAGTAGCTACGATAGACTGTCGGAAATGCGATAGCCGTGAATCTATTGATCGCAATGAACAGAATTGTGTGATAGCTAAGGGTTTGGAAGAGAATTGCCAGTTGACCAATGATGATACCAGTTGCCTTCCAGCCGTTGAATAACCTGCTATAGAAGGAACTTTATGAATTTTTCCATCAGTAAGGTTCTTTAAATTTGAACAAAAAACAACGAGTGTTGCCTGATCTGTAGATCACGCAACTATGCCACTCGCGCGGTTGTTTAGTGATCTCCTATAGCTGAGAAAAACACATCGATCCGGTTATATTTTGTCGTGTTTGTTTAATTTTGTGGAAGGCTATGAAATCCCACAATAAAATGAACTTGCTAGGTCCTTAATGGGTGTGGTGACTTCTTGCCAAAAATCGCGCCGCGCCCAACGCACTCGATCGCGCGGAGTCGCTCGTTTTAAAGGGAAAGGTTTGAACCCCAGTGAACGAATACGGTAGTCGTCACGGAATTGCCACTCGCCGTGGGAATTCGGGGAGAAGTACCGCCATCCTTCCTCAACCTTCTACCGTAATACCAGGCGTGAGTGGCTGAATCATGTGCCTCTTGCTTATACAGTATGCCTATGTCCAAAGTCCAATCTCCTTATACTGTTGCTTACTTCATAAGACTCTTTTCCTATCATGGAGACTTTTTTACGATCATCGACAACAAGAAACTAATTAAGCCAACCCAAAATATACCCACGCTTCTGAAGTTCATGAGCTTATCCCACAACAATCATCGCCTTAGTTTAAAAACAAATATATAAATGAGTTCTATTTGAGTACATGCTTGGTACAGTCGAAGAACACTATGCGGAAAATTTAGATGAAGATCTATTGTGTTATTCTTTGATATTTCATTCTTCGAACTCTTATCGAAACTACACAAAGATCAGAAAACTTCACGCATAATAATGGCTCCATAGGTTTCTCCGTAGGTACCATAAAAAAAAGGGAAGATGAAAATTTTGGATAAAACCACTGCCTACTCAGAAAAACTACGAATACGCCCTAGGATAGTCAAGGGATGAGAGTGTTGGGCCTGTGGGCCCGAAATCATTGTGGACAGAAAGAGAGGATGCTTCTAAAAGACATGTGAACATGTAGCAACATACTACAAATAGAAGACGAAGCTTGTGATTTTAGGAGAGTGTTTGATTGCGTAAATGCATAATGAGTTTCTTGCAGGGCCAGGCAAGTACTGCTGGGGCCAGCCACCCGGTACTTTCACCCTTTCACATAAGTCTGGCACCGCTGGAACGAAATGCTTCTTGACGTAACGCCACCTACGTCTTAGCCGGATTATTCTTTTTTGAAGTGTTTTTTGTATAAAATATTATCTGAAAGATTGACTTTTAGAAATGTTGAGGGCTGAATACTTACAAGAGCATACTCGGCGTCACCCAGAATAAAAATATCGCCAATAAACCAGCATTCGACATTGAATGAAACGCCATCAGAAGTCCGAACGGATTTCGAAAAATTGGCAGGCGCATCATCACCACTGCTGACAAGCTGTTCAGCGCCAAACCCAAGATTCCAATCTGAAAAGACCAGTCATAATGGCGTAGAGAATTATCCGGCAGAAATTTTGGAACATAACACTTACAATGGCCGTGATTGTCGCCAGCGATATATTTCTGATTTTCTCATGTTCATAGTCTTCTACGCTCGTGGCTGTTTCCATCTGTGATCCCTGAAAAATTATTTGTGCATATTCAGTAAGAACATCCAATCAAATGGCATTTGAAAAAAGCTGAAGAAATAATATCACTAAGTGTCAAGCATAATGTCTTAGATAATAATTCTATCAGTTCATTAGCGTTCCATTCACCCCATAAGTTCCTTAAGCCCAACTCTATACTCACTCGATTTGCGAGAAGTTCCGACTTAAGCAATAGTCTGGGTTCTTAAGTAGAAAGAAAAAGTAAGAGTTTGACTTGTCAAACCGTCCTTGCCCCTTACCATTTTTGCAAACCCTCTGATTCTGATATAAGTTCCGTAACAAGATCCCCTAATTTCGACTTTGTCGCTACACACGAAGAGTAGAAGATATTTTTGTCATTCAGTTGAATCGGCACCGCCACCGAGCGGAATAACTTACTCTGTGGACTGCATCGGCATTTTAGTGAAAGGATTTCTCATGAGAACCGGGAGGGGAGTCAGCCCCAGAGTTCCAACCCATCACTCACTGGCTTCTCTAAGTGTATCCAAGTCTTAAAGTGACTCTGATGTGAGCTCTTCAACACCCTGACAATCATTCACGATTATATCACCGATACTGAATCAGTGATGAGTTGACTGAAAACTCGCTGAGGAAGCAAACAGTAGAGTAAAAGGAAGAATAGGTGATATCCTTCAGGAATCAAGTAAGGGGGAGGACCTTGAGCAGGTGAACGGTGAAGCGTAATCGAATTGTCTACATGACTGCCTCATCCTTTCACTTGGAGGAATCACGAATTATTTTGGGAATTAACGACCTAAGTAATCTACCGCCACAAGTGAAACAGAAAAAGTGAAAGACTAGAATAAGAGCTGGCACGGAAACAATGCCTGCTTTCTTGTAAACGACTAAGTTCAACCTTGAAGTGAACTGATTTTCACACAATTGTGGACAATACGAAGGTGAGTGTGTACGACAGTGACTACGTTTCATTTGTGACATTAAACAATACCACGGACTTCTGAGAACGGAAATGTTAGAAACAATTATGTTTCATGTGGGAGTATTCATGTTTATACTACAACCCAGGTCCTTTGAGATCAACTGAAACCAAAAACATCGCACGGGCAAGGGAACTTACTTTATAGCATGCCGACCGGTGTGGAGATACCGAGGACTGCGGAACAAATGAACAGAAATTTGAAAAAAATGGAACGTGAACCGTATGGAAATCGATTTAAAACATTCAAGTTCAAATAAGGCATAAATCACCGACAAAAAAAATTGAACTCGTATAGCGAAGGTAATGAGAAACCGTACATTGAATTTTGAAAGGTAGAAGGGGTCTGCACTACTCTGCTCATTTTCAAGTACAGAGTGGGCCAAAATAATTATTACACAGACATCACATCCCCGAAATTGAATCGAAAGCTAATGAAGCAAACCAATTTTACAGAAATGCTTATCACTAATCTCTTATCAAAATAGTATTAGGTTGAGTCATAAGTCCTCGGACAATGTCAAAGTGATAACTTCTAGAGATCATAACTCGGGAAAGAGGTGACGAAAATGGACGCGCGAGGCATCGGTAAATAGAGTATAAAAAACTCTCTCGAGCATTCACTAACGAGTACACCTGACCATCTCCTGCACCTGAGCGTGAGGAGAGAAAATGCCATGTCGGCGCGAAAATCCATGTCATATCAAATGTCAATTGAAAGCATGAGGCACCCATCGACCGAGCTTTCGCACCTTGCCGACTGACCTCAATCCACGAATAACTGTGGACTCACTCCCCAAGAGTGGCTGCCAGTTCACGTGTAGTTTGGTACGGATCGGCTTTCACTGGCTCCGCAGCACGTCCAAACCTAACTCCTTCGAACGTCCCGGACGGTCTTCATTTTCGATAGAATAGTCGTCCGACGTGAACTTCGTGTGCCACTTCTGAATTGTGCATCTAGCAGGAGCACCCTTCTTGTAAACTTCCTTAATACGTCTATTGATCTCCGCGGGTTCTTGGCCAGATAAAAAAAGAAATAGGATGGTTGGCGGAGGTGGAGTTGCGACGACTTGAAATCATGGGGCATGGTTGCAGGAAAGGAGACAGTTAGGTGTGTTCGTTAGTATGTATTTAGAAGAGCTTTTCATACTCTATCTAACAATGCCATGCGCGTCCATTTTCGTCTGCTCTTTCCGGTGTTATGATCTCTAGAAATCATCGCTATCATTTTGTGCGAGGACCTATGACTCAACCTAATACTTTGGAACCGGTATCTGCTGCATTCTGCTTTCTCCAACCCCAGAGACGACGATGGACCTTGTTAACGGTGGCACACAGCTAAGGTTACCCACTTGATTCCGGATTTTTGCAAGGCAATTTCGAGTTTATTTCACTTCTTGTTTGAGCTAAAGGACGCTTTCATCTCAACGGCCTACCACACGGAGACATCCATGGGATTTAAGTCAGGGCTCCAGAGTGGCCACTGATCGAAGATTATGAAGCCAGGGAACCCCTTATGCGAAATTTCTAGACAATTTCTGATCTGCAGTCAGGAGCATCATCTTGACAATATGTCCAGTTTAAATCGTCAAAGTGTCCTATTGCGCACGAAGAGATCGAACAGGTCTCCAAATCAACTATCACTCCTTATTTTACAAAAATAATCTGTGCTTCTGCCTCGACGGTGACGCTCGCAGAGGATATCGCAGAAAGCGAGCAAGCCTAGGGCTGCATCACTTCCATTTCTTTCAGTTTTATACAAATTTTGTAGCCCTGCTTTTGGGTACCTTTTTCACTGCGGATATCTTTCCTCCTGTGAACAGATACACGCAGACAATTTGTTGCATACGGCGAGGCAGCTTTGGTGAGTCAACCTTTCTGTTCTCTTTGGCCTGCTCACTGGGGACAACACTGTCTGATCGTATAGTGGTCTTTTTATGCAGATGAAGCTTCAAGATATCGTGCGGAATTTTCATGAAATATCTATTCATTCAGCCATTTTGGGCTCTGAGTCAGCTTCGCTGCCACGCAAACTTCGCCCTCCTTCCTTAACACTCCCCCTTAAATATAACCGCAGGCCTCTTAGGCTTACTCCTCCTATCTGCAATTGTTCCCAACTCTCGAAAGTGTACTATGATTGAGTGTATCACCTGCCTTGTTATGCTAAGTCGACGGTAGACGCACCGTGCCAAAAGTGCTTGTTAATGCAAAGCGATGATTGTTTCATGGGGTCGTGATGCTTGCATTATTTCAAAATCTGCCAAGAGTTTAGTATTACTAGGAAGGAAATAATGCAATCTACCTTGTGAATTGGAAGAAACTGAACTAAGTGTTATAAGCCCGGAAAAAATTTGGTATGAGCGTCAGCGCGCGCTGTATTCGTAATTTTGGCCCACCCTGTAGTCCACGCCCGCAAGAAATGTGAAGACACTACGCCCCACAGCAACACAGAATGTCGTAGAACATAACAGTGTCGTTTCCTCCCATACTAGAATGCAAGGTCCAAAATGAGCACTCCGTTTCTCATTAATCTGAGGGGGATACTGGAGATATAACCAAAAACTCTAAGCTCTCAACAGTTTTAGTTTTAATGAACAACTTTCTTCTGAAATAGTTCATTATAGGTTCATCGTTCTTCCTCCGAAGCCGAAATTTTGCCTACAAATCCCATCCTTGCGAGACTTTCGTGTTGCACACTGCGGCGATAAAAGAGCAGTTAACGAAACGTTGAATCAAATCTAGTAAAACTGTTCTGCAATTTCCTTAATTTTCTTAACAAAGACTTGCTGTAAGAAAAATAAATGTAATTATTCTAACATTAAACGAACACAGACTTGTAGGCCCTAATAAGCAGGAATGTGTATCTGGTATAGATTTGAGGGATATGAAAAGCAAGGAAACTTCCTAATGCCCTTTGAGTAACAGATTTTTCAAGTCCTCTTCTAGCCGTAATTCGGTCTGCTGCATTGAAAGTACTACCATCCCGTGTCCCCCATCCTCTTTAATATCTTCACATACGAATTGCCGGAGTTAGCTGGCTCGCGGGGAGTTAAGTGCGCTGCATTCGCGGACGATTTCAAGCTTTACTATCCAGTCTCCTCTAATTCTGACAAAGAATTACTTCAGAATGCTATCAATGATATCAGCTGCTGGGCGGCGCAATGGAACCTGCCCATTTCCCGAGAAAAAACAAAGGTTCTATTATACATTTAAGTAAAGTTGTTGTTGATCCCTCATATTCAATCGATGATGTACTGTTAGAGGTGGTGAATGAAATTAGAGGCTTGGGTTTCCTCATCCGTAGAGACCTGAGCTTCGACGAACACTGTAGTAAGATAGCCTCCAAAGCAACAGCTCTCACATTCACCCTGTTCAGAGCTTTGACTACTAAGGATGCTCTTATGCTCCTCAGAGCTTACTTAACTTACGTCAGACCCCTACTAGAATATGGGACCGTTATATTTAATCCGCACAAAGTGAAAGTTACCAGCACTTGGGTGAGGGTTCAAAACATTTTTACTCGAAAGCTTTTCCTGAGAGGGCTCGGTTTTGAGTATGATCAGATCCCTTCCGGAGTAACACGGAACGCCAATCTCAATCTTGAAACTTTAGCGCTCAGAAAGAGGTAATTTGATTTGATAAAGTTCTTCAAGGTCTCTCATGGTCATTCGGGGCTCAAGCCAAACAGTTTGCTATTCTTTAGGGAATCGAGAACTAGGGGATGCCCTACAAAATTTTTAGTTGCCAGGGCTAAACGCAACGTCAGACGCCACTTTTTTGTTATCAGAGCTAGCTCGGAGTTTACTAGGCTGCTTAGACTAGGTATTCCGAGGGTCCGGGAACTTCTCCCCTAACACGGCGTCGCACACGCCGCACCCGCCGCCTATCGCAGGATTGCGATGAAAGATTGGAGCGCGCAATTTGTGAAGTAGGGAGTCCTTTAATCATTTGAATTGGCTGGTCGCTCTCTTCAATTTCAATGCGGTATTGATCGTCGTCTATATAAGAGGAGTCATTTTAATTA